TAAGATGGTGGTCACTGGCCCCTAAAGTGTTCTAGAATCAGCTGAGAAAATAAGAGAGATTTTCTGCCCTTGAGCCTCTAAAAAATACCTTTAACCTGAGCATCGTGAGGGAAATGTGGTGGTTTTAGTATAGACTTGTAAATTCCTATGGAGATCAAAAGGTCATTGTGTGATATTTCATGGTATCTTCATTAGTGATATGAGTTGTGCCTTTCTAAAGGAGAAACTGCATAAAAGGAAAGAAGAAAAAGCGGAGGGAGGTGAGGTTTAAAAAAATTAATGAGTAATAATTTTCAGTAAATTCTTTTTTTTTTTTAAGATTTTATTTATTTAAGATAAATTTATTTATTGATTGATTTATTTATTGATAGAGCGAGCGAGAGCAGGAACACAAACAGGGGGAGTGGGAGAGGGAGAAGCAGGCTTCCCGCCGAGCAGGGAGTCCGATGTGGGACTCGATCCCAGGACCCTGGGATCATGACCTGAGCCGAAGGCAGACGCTTAACGACTGAGCCACGCAGGGGCCCCAAATTTCAGTAAATTCTTGAGTTAATTTTAGCAAAGTAGATTAAATAATGAGTATTTTTTGGAAAATTTAATGTGGAGGAATTGATTTGATTCTAAAGTTGAAAATGTATGTTTTATGAGCATCTTTTTAGAATAATTTTATTTTCATTGGAAAAATAAGGTTTTTTTCGTTCATTTCTAGTTTCTACTCAACCATGAATACATTCCTAAGAAAATATTTTTTGTTGCCAAATTCTTAATTTGCTCATGGCCTGTTTTTGTGTTCAAATTACAATATTCAGGGAAGCATTTTCTGTTTTTGTTTTTATCACATAGTTGTAGTGTAACAAAAAGCTGCGTCTTACACATTTTTGTAGAAGTGGTTTTTCATCTCTTAGATCTAATTCAGAGTAACTCTGCTTTTGATACCTTTGAAACTTAAAATACAGAGTGTACAAAATTCATTTTAGTTTATGGGACTTAATTCCTGTCAGACAAGTAAATATCATAGTCTTTGAAGAGCCCCATAGTTTGCTTACCTGGGCTCTATCTTTTCTTGTCTAGCTCTTCCCATTAATGTGTGTGGCTGTTTTGTGTGTGTGTGTGTGTGTGTGTGTGTGTGTGTTTGTGGAGTTTTTGTTTTTGTTTCTGATAGCATGGGTGGATTGAAAAGTAGTTAATGGAAAGATGGGGAAAAACTCCTGTGTGTGTAGAAATACTAATTTGTATAACAAATTATTACTTAATGGCTTTATTAACAAAAAGAATTTTTAATTTAAGAAATGAAAAGCCGGGGGGCGCCTGGGTGGCTCATTCAGCTGGGCATTGGACTCCTGATTTTGGCTCAGGTTATGATCTCAAGGTCATGAGATTGAACCCTGTGTAGGGCTCCACGCTTGGCATGGAGCCTGTTTGAGATTCTCTCTCTCTCTCCCCCCTTGTCTGTTGTCTGTCCCTCCCTCCCCAGCCACCACTCGTGTGTGTGCGTGCGCTCTCTCTCAAAAAAAAATTAATTAAAAAAATGATAAGTTTAAGACTTCTCTTTCAGTAATCTTCCTTGGTGTGTTTCAGTTGAATGCCTGTGGGGAGTCCAGTGAAATTTAGAGATAAATTTTAGTAACCATTGGCAATTGTATGTTAACCAGAAATTAATATTAGGCATGTCAGAAATTATAATTTGCTGCCTCTGCTCACAAAACCTTCCCAGAATAGACCAGGGAATGGAAGGAAGAGGTGATCATGTGAATAGCTTTTGATATCTTCCTTTCCAAATTTTTTTAATATTAATAAAATTTATATACCATATAATTTATTTAATAGAATGGAATTGTCAAGTCACATGTTAACTCTGTGTTTAACTCTGAGGTACTGCCAGACTATTTTCCTACAGTGGCTGCACCATTTTGCATTCCCACCAACAATGTATAAGATTTCCAATTTCCCTGCATCCTCCCCAACACTTGTTATTGTCCCATCTTTTTGATTATAGACACCTCAGTGGATGTGAAATGGTATCTTGTGAAATGTGGTTTTAATTTGTGTTTCCATAATGGATAATAATGTTAAGCATCTTTTAATGTGCTCGTTGGCCATTTATATTCTTTGGAGAAATGGCTGTTTGAACCTTTTGTCCCATTTTCAACACTTTTCTATTGGGGTAAAATATACATAACAAATTTTGCCATTTTAAGTGTATAACTTGGTGGCATTAAATACATTCACAGTCTTGTGCCACCATCATCACTGTCCATCTCCAGGCCTTTTTTTTTTATCTTCCCAAACTGAAACTCTGTACCCATTAAACAATAACACCTCACACTTCCCTTCCCCCAGCCCCTGGCTAATGTCTTTCTGCTCCTTGCCTCTGATTCTGTTTTAAATAACTCATGTAAGTGAAATCATAAAATTTGTTCTTTTGTGTCTGGCTTATTTCACTTAGCATATTGTGTTCAAGATTATTCAAAGTTGTAGCATGTACCAGAATTTCCACTTTAAGCCCTAATAATATCCCATTGCATGCACATTATTTATCCATTCACCTGTTGATTGATGGTATTTTCCACCTTTTGGCTATTGTGAATAATACTGCTTTATGAATTGGTGTACATGTATCTGATTGAGTCCTTGCTTTCACATGTTTGGGGTACTTACCCAGAAATGGAATGGCTGGATCATCTGGTAATTCTTTGTTTTTGTTTTTGAGGAACACACACCACACTTTTCCGCAGTGGTGGCATCATTTTGCATGCCCACCAGCCAGTATAGGGTTCCAGTTTCTCGACATCTTTGGCAGCCAATGCTTGTTATTTCCTGGATTTTTTTTGGAGAGCAGCCAACCTAATGGATATGAAGTTCTATCACGTTGTGGCTCTGATGTACATTATTCTAATGATTAGTGATGTTGAGCATCTTTTCATGTGCTTACTGGTCATTTGTATATCTTTGGAGAAGTGTCTGTTCAACTACTTTGCCCATTTTCTCATTAGGTTGTGTCCTGTTACGCCACCGCCCCCCCCTTGCTTGCTTGTAGGAGTTCTTTTTATCTCCTGGTTATTAACACCTTATCAGATAGGTGATTTGCAAGTATTTCTTCCATTCTGTGGGTTGCCTTTTCACTTGTTGATAGTGACCTTTGAGACACAAAAACGTTTTTTATTTTGATAACAGTTCAGTCGTCTTTTTTTTTTTTTTTTGGTGTCACACAATACTGTTTATGTCAACAGTGACTGATTCTGAAATGTCTTGGGAATGTATCAGGAGTCTTTTAGGCTCATACTGAAAAACATTTTCTAGAATTTTCATTTTCTGTTTTTGAAGTTCAGATTTTATCGTTGGCCACAAATATTTTAGTTATTTCTCTTGAAGTCATTCGTGAGAAAATGTCTACCAAATTCTCTTGGTTTGAAAAAGCCTTATTGGTTTGACAGTCCTTTCAAGTAAAAATGGCATTCTAAGATAGCAGCTAGTTCAGCTGGCAACAATATTCAACTGTTGTTCCTTGAGATATATATAGTATTTTGATACGTTTTTCATGTATTCATTTCATTTTGTTAACAGAATATTAAGAGGATGCATGTTCAGAGGTTGAGAATTAAAATTAGTAATTTTTTAAATTAAACTTGAGATGAAAATGGTTTTTTGTTTTACTGTGAATTTGTGGAGGGTGAAGAAGGTGATGACTGCTACTAGTAGATAGGAGTTTGGAACTGTTGCCTTGATTTCTGCTAAGTTTCTTTATTTTCCCTCTTGCTGTTCTTGTACCATCAGGACACATATTATCATAGTAAAAATGTCAACTCTTATTCTCATGAAAATGGCTTTGGCCTCTTATACTACACTTTGAGAACTGCTGCCCTAGTTTGTAGGATTGTGGGTGGGAGAGAAGAGTGCAGATTAGCTCTTCCCTTATTTTGCTTAAGCAGTCACCTGTGTAAGATTTATCTGCTGCCGTTAGTGGTTGTACTTTCTGTTTGGCTTTGAAATGGTTGGCATTTCTGATTCTTGGATCTCCTGGAATTTAGGCTATTCAGGCAGGTATCATCACAAAATTTTTTTATATTAGTGGTAAAATGTAAGAGGACAGGGGGATAAAAGATGTTCCTATTAACTTAGTAAATGAATAGATATTAAAAGCACATAAATTATATATTTTTACTTTGCAGATACATGTTGGATATGTACCTTTTTTTTTTTTAAGATTTTATTTATTAGAGAATGAGAGCGAGAAAGAGAGAGAGAGCACATGAGAGGGGGTTAGGGAAGAGGGAGAAGCAGACTCCCTACTGAGCAGGGAGCCTGATGCGGGACTTGATCCTGGGACTCCAGGATCATGACCTGAGCCGAAGGCAGTCGCTTAACCAACTGAGCCACCCAGGTGCCCCTTGGATATGTACCTTTTAAGAGACAAAAGATCCTGAAAATACTAGCTGAAAGAAAAAGGAAAAAGGAGAAATTGAAGTTTATTTTGCTATTTAACATAGATACAAGACAAGAAACCTTTATTAGTCTGTGTAAGCATTATAGCTTGGATACCAAGAGCTTTGGGTCTGGAGTCATTCTGACTTGTCTATTTAAAATGTGAACTTGGGCCAATTTCTAATCACCTCTTTCAGACGGGACAGTAACACCTCCCTGACTGGTTTGTTAGGAGTGATAGAGTCAAAACGAAATAATGTTTTAAAAATGCCAATAATGAGATGAGACGTAGTACATAATAGGCTTTCAGCCAGAGGTGGTTCATTTTAAAGATTTTTACCAGAGATCGGGGTTTCATTTGGGTCAGAAGTGGGGAGAATTGGATGTAACCAGTTTGGAGATTGTGAGTCAGTTTCATCAGGCCTGGTATATGCTACTGAACAAAGATATTCTCACAGCCCCTTACTCAGATCTTAATTTTATTAGTATCAGTGTTACGGTGTATTCTGTATTTGTGCTTTGTGTTCAAGAACTGTAAAGCTACATGTTACTCTTTTTTTTGTTTTTTTTGCTTATAGGATTCAATGGTCCCAATTTAAAGGCTATTTTATTTTCAAACTGGAGAAAGTAATGGATGATTTCAGAACTTCAGCTCCTGAACCGAGAGGTCCTCCCAACCCTAATGTTGAATATATTCCCTTTGATGAAATGAAGGAAAGAATACTGAAAATTGTCACTGGATTTAATGGGTATGCACTTAATATTGTTTGAAAGGTTTAATTTTTAGCAGAAAATTATGGATTTTTATTTAAGCTTTGATCGTTGATTATTCATTAAGTTCTGTGTCTCTGGTGACATTTAATAGTGATTTTTAGCTTACAACTATTTAAAATAATTACAGTGTATTTATTTAATTTATTTAACTTGAACCACCTTTACGGTTATCAGTGGCATTTGGACTTTAAATGGTTTTGACAGTGGAAACATTCCGGAAATATGTTAGTTTTTTCTTTCCATTTTATATGTGATATTATAAATCTTTATACTTTGCCTAGGACCTGCATATCATTGAGATGAGTAACATTTTTTTTTTAATGAAAAATAACAATTTATGAATGCACCTACTTAGGACTTTCTATTTAAATTTTTTTTTGGAGTTCCTCTTTTACTCCCAAGTAACAAGTAATCATTTTTAGCCCTTTGTAAAACATTGCATTAAAGGGTCACTGCATTAAAATAAACTGCTATTTTAAAAAATGTTGCTGCATGTCATATTCTGTGTCATTTTAAATATTTTTCTTTTTAGGACTTTGTATTTATAGGGTTTTCTTTATTGAAGGGAAGAAGTATTTGTGAAGTTGAATTGTTCAATATTTAGATTGACGTTAGCAATTTGGAGTGTGAGGTGACAATACCAAATTTAATGAATTGTGGATATGTTAACCATGAATTCATATTTGGGATAGGTTTTATTTGAAGAGGTTTCATTTGTAAGGATTTTTATTTAGGTAGCATAAACAGTCTCATTCTTTTCAGATATTTAAACGCATGGGATTTGCAACAAGGTAGTGTAATTCAGTTAATCCTTTGTTATGTATCATGTTTTTAAGTTTTGAGTTTTGCTTAGAATAACAAATTCTTAGGCTTTTGGTTTTAGGTATCTTACTAAAATACTTTTTGGGGATAGAATTTACAGCTTTATCTTTGAGCTGCCTTTAGGGGCTTGGGGTAGGAGGGAGACTTATTTTGACTTTGTACCCTATTGTACTTTTGTGCACTGTACTGAAAATTATTTATCTGTATGTACATATTGCTTTGTTAATAATAGTATTTTTTAAAGGCACATACCCAGACAACGCCACATGCTTTATATTAGAAATATGTGGCATAAGATTTACTCTTGAACTGGATTATTCTTATAAGAATACTTCTTCGGGATATTTATAAATAGTACATAGTACTTAGACGTTATAACTCATCTTTTCATTTCAATAAGTTATGGCTACCATTTACAAATTAAGAGTTAAGGTAAAACAGGTCATATTATGCTACTGCTTTGTGAATGTTAAGCTAATATACTTGTGATTCTGAATTAGTAATACTGTTTTCAGTTCTTTCAAAATTAAGATGGACCAGACAGATACGTAGAATAAATAAAATCTAAATATTTATAATTTCTTAGTCTTTAAAACAGGTAATTGACCTACTTCTGAAAATGATTTGAACGGTCATTAAATGCATACCTAAGACAGATAATTGCTTTTAAAATATTTTTCATTTTTGAGCCATAAGTATTTTGAACTTACGTTGTTTTTAATTTGATTTTTCAGAATAGCAGTTTATGAATCCTTTTCCCTAATCAGGCAGGATCGAGGCCGTAATCAGTGATAAATATTTTTCGGTTTTTAATATTTTTGGCTGTATTATATGTTGGTATATTGACACATGTTTATGATTTTTTTCAATTTTATTTTTATGTTTGAATGTATATAAATTAATTGGTGTTTTAAAAATTTTGTTAAGAGTGGCGGCTGTAAGTAGCATTTTGGTCTTTTTCAGCCAGATTTGAAGATTTGTCCTTTTTAGTATACCTTTCCCGCTGTTTATAATGGGTCACCTTTTAAGTTACAGAAATACTTGTTCATAGTTTTAAAAAGATCCTTAGATGTCATAGGAGTAGTACATAAAGTGGGATCATGTCATACGCTAGTTGTATTTTCCTTTTTGAAGAGCTTTGAAATCTCTGTATCAATGCATTTATAGAGGTATCTTCTGTTCTTCTATGTATTTGAAATGACCGCATTATTTTTTATTATATGAACAAGTTTGCCTTGTTTCCATTGATGGTGGGTGTTTATTTTTTGGCTGTTATAAGTAGTGCTTGTAGTGCGCATCCTTGTACATACCTTCTTGTGTTGATGAATGTCACACATTAAATGTATGTATAGATTGTTGCTTTTAATTTGTAGAAATGAAATTGTTACATCACAGTGTACTCATACTTAAAATTTCTATTGAACTGCCAAGTTGACATTGCAAAATGTGTATCATTTCGTGTGTATATAAATGCAGATATTGTATTCTTTAATATTTTGTCTGTGTGTGTGGGTGCGCAGAGATTTGTGTGTCTTTGCAAGTGAAATTGAACATCTTATCAGGTGCTTATTGGCTCTTATAAATTGTGGTTTCATTTTTTTTTTATTTTGGGGTGATTTTCTTATTGGTAAGTTTATTGTTTTGTTTTTGCTTTTAATTAGTAAAAGCTGTTATTAAATGCTTCGTAGTATTTAGTCCTGAAAAAGATTATCCATTTTCTAAAATTATTTTAGTATATTGTCAGCATTTAAATTTCCCTCTTTGATGTGGAAATTGTCCCATTACCTTGTTGGCTTGATTTCTTGAGCTGTAAGATTCCGGAAAACAGGGTTAACCATCTTTTCCAAACAAGGCCTTCAAGAACAGTGAATGGCTGAACAGTAGGTTTTCAAACAAGTACACGATAAATCAATGGAAGGAATAAAAGCATGTTTCTATATTTATATTTTATTTCTAGTACTTCATTCCTACTAATAAATACAGAGGGATTTCAAGGGGTAGAAAGAATGTAATTTACATTTCTAGTAGTTTTTTAAAAGATAGTTAAATGTCCTCTAAATTACTGACATCGAAGAATAATGAATATAAATTAACTGTGTGTCTTTGCTTCTCCTTTGTCAATGTTGTTAGACCTAAGACCTTTCTAAAATAAGCAGTAAGTTTAAGGTACTGTGGGTAGTTGACTAAAGTAGTATGGCTATGTATTTACGAGCAGGTCTGGAAAAAGTACATAACCATTTGATACCTAAAGATCTTTTAATTGTCACATCGTCTTTCTAAGGCAGGTACAGTTGGTTACAGCTGAAGAGCGCTCTTCATCTTTTGGCATGATAGTCTTTCTGAATATTGAAATTCTTCTCTAATGTTACTTTAACGTACATAAATGACCAGATTTTTCTTAGTCCTAAAAACTTTTATATTGTTTTGTAGTGTATTGCACACGCAGAAATATCTCTTGTAAATTTCTGCACCCGAGAGTGTGCCTCTTCATACTTTTTTAAGAAGGTCATATGTGAGATTTTTATACTCTTAAATCTGGATCATAGATTTAAAGCATAATCCTTTTTTGATTTTGTACTGTTTGCTTTATAGTTAGCTTGAGATTATTCAGGGATGAGAGAATAGGTTCTAGCTATTTGTTATTTTGTTCTCTTCCTTCCTTTGACCTATTTTATTGCTGCTGCTTGAATTCTCTTCAGTTGGTTGGGAAAATAGAGTTTTTGTGTCAGTATTTGTTGAGCATATTAAATCTTTTTATTTATTTATTTTTTTAAAGATTTTATTTACTATTTGACAGCGAGAGAGGGAACACAAGCAGGGGTAGTGTGAGAGGGAGAAGCAGGCTTCCTGTGGAGCAGGTTGCCTGATGCGGGGCTCAGTCCCAGAACTCTGGGATCATGACCTGAGCCAAAGGCAGATGCTTAACGACTGAGCCACTCAGGTGCCCCGAGCATATTAAATCTTTTAGCTAAATGTGTTTATTTCCATTTTCTTCGCTCTCTTTCACTTAGCATAACTAGTTGAGAATTGGAATTATTTAGTAGCCTTCTCTCCTCTTTCTACCCCTGCCTTGTCTTGTCCTTTGATCATATGGTTTGATTTGATGTTGTAATAAAATGTTTTAAATTGAAAGGTAGGGTGTAGCAGAAGTCTAATTTTTTTCTTGACATTTTCGATTTGATGCCAGGACAGTGACAATTCAGACTACTATAGGCACTATAAAAGATGATTAATTTGATTGAAAGTGTTGACAAGTTGCTACACATTTATTTTGGGGTGGGGAATGGTTAGTTTACAGGTACTAGTTTACAGTTACTTAGCGTTATTTAAAGAGGCTGATTCTTCATTTTCTTAATTGTTTGTACTTGTCATTTTACATTGGTGTTTTCAGTAAATCTAAGAATTTCTAACATTTGATTTGAGGTAGAAAATATATACATAAGAATATTTAAGTATGTGTATATTTATACAGATGTAAAGCCTGAGTACAGATAGAGCATATTGCATAGATATTAAGATAAGGATAAAGATAATATCACATGATTCCAGTGATATTTCTGACTTCTGTAGGACTTAAGAGTAAACAAAACTGAACCTGTTCAGCCTTGGATAACTGAGACAGATTATAGAGATTTTTTATTTTATTTTCTTGGTGATAACAGAGATACATTTAAGCTAGTTTTAACCTGAATAGTTCAAGTCAGATTTAAGCAATTCTTTAAGGCATAGTATAAATGTAGCCATTCATAGAAAATAAAGACATAGTAAAAATGACATCTTTATGCATAAAACTAAAGTGAGCTGGCTGTTTTAACATTTTTCATAACAGGATGTCTGATTTTATGGTTCTCTCTTAGTTTTTATACGCAGATGGCCTCTGTGTTACATTTTATATTCCTTTATCTTTTTCATGAAGAAAGTTGATTGCATTATAAAGGAGTAAGGTAATCAGTTATCTGATTTTTATCTTCGATTCTGAATTAAATGTGCATTTTCCTTTTCTGAATGCCTTCTTTCCAACTGATACCTTGTATGCATTCAGAATAATTGTACATCTTAATGATGAAACATATAAATAGACTAAGAAATTTTAGTCAAACTGTAATCTCAGCTTAAAATGTAAGATAGGACATTCTTCCTTTAGGTGTTGGCCTTACTGTTTACAATTTCTTTCTATTAAAAATAGCATTAAATTGCTAATTCATGCTTAGATGTCTTTCTCTGATGTTCAGCCCCTTTCCTGATATTTGAATTCTCATAGCTTTCAGGTATGTAAGACTTAATGGGTATTAAGGGGTTGGGCGTGCAGAGGGAGAAGGGGAGAGAGAATCTCAAGCTGTATTTCAGGCTGTATCTCACGACCCCGAAATCATGACCTCAGCTGAAGTCAAGAGTCAGTGCTTAACTGACTGAGCCACCCAGGTGCCCTGATACTTTTTTTTGATGCAGTGAATGGGGACAGATTGCAGCAAGTTCAGATACACTCTATAATTAATGTAAGACATGTTAGCTGCTCTCCTTGGAATTAAAAGGAATATTTTATTTATTTTTTTATTAAGATTTTATTTATTTATTTGACAGAGAGAGAAGAGCAGGGGGAGAGGGAGAAACAGGCTCTCTGCAGAGAGCTCTCCTCCCCACTCCCCAGTTCCTTATGTAATCTTAGTTTTTATCTTAGGATGGCAGGCAAATAGGTAATATATTGCAGAGTAAACTGAATGTATTCTATTTGAAATAACCCCAGATATTTTTCTGTTAAGTAATTTATTTTATACTATATCATTCCAGTGAACATCCTTACCCCATTTCCCCAAATTTAGAGATTCTGGTTCAGATTTTTCATTGTGTGCATTTTTGCTTTTTTCTTCTTAGCACAAGGGGTCTTAATTTAGTGATTTTTATTGGAAATAGTTTTAATATTTTCAGGAGTTAGAATAAACTGTTTTGTATGCTATATTTAAAGAGTAACAGAGTAAACCTTGCATATAGTTTTTGCACCAACCATTCATTTTGGATTTATCTGGTTTATTCTTACACCTCCTTTTAAAGATCTAACTTAGAAAGTGTTCCCACGGGGCGCCTGGGTGGCTCAGTCGTTAAGCGTCTGCCTTCAGCTCAGGTCATGGTCCCGGGGTCCTGGGATCGAGCCCCGCATCGGGCTCCCTGCTCAGCGGGAAGCCTGCTTCTCCCTCTCCCACCCCTGCTGCTTGTGTTCCTTCTCTCTCTGTGTCTCTCTCTGTCAAATAAATAAATAAAATCTTAAAAAAAAAAAGTGTTCCCAGGTTCAGACTTGCTTCCTTGGCATACAGTTTACTCTGTCTTGATAACATTGCATACAAAATTATATTAACATTTATTGTAGTTATTTACATGCTCTGATTTCTAGCTTGTGGTAGGCTTTCATATTTACCTAAAAGGTTAAAAATAAGTACAGCTGTGTAAAGAGACCTTCAGTGCAGTTGTCAAGATTATGTTTCCAAAGGATACTTTTATATGCAAGTAATATTTGTATTTTTACAAATATTACAAATATTTTATTTACAAATATTACAAATATTTTACAAATATATTTTACAAATATATACTTAGCCTCCTTACGCAAGGGGTGAGCATTATTTGACATTTTAGTGCCATCTATTGGACACTTCGTAAAAAGCTCCTGAAAGTGTCTAAGGCGTAAACACATTTTATCATAGGCTTTTATTGCTAACAGTGCTGTGCAAACATAATACATTTTTCCCCCTAAAAGCAGTATTATTTATCAACACATGCATTGTTAATAATTGGCTACACTTTCACTTACCTTCCTGAAGAAAATTAGCCAAAGCATGTAGTATAAACATATTAAACAGAAAGTTTAAAGATACTTATGTTTTGGGTTTTTTTTTTAAAGATTTTATTTATTTATTTGACACAGAGAGACACAACGAGAGAGGGAACACAAGCAGGGGTGGGTGGGAGAGGGAGAAGCAGGCTTCCTGCAGAGCAGGGAGCCCGATGTGGGGCTGGATCCCAGGACCCTGGGATCATGACCTGAGCCGAAGGCAGAGACGCTTAACGACTGAGCCACCCAGGTGCCCCAAAGATACTTATATTTTAAAGCTATTTTTTACCTTAAGAGAAAATACTGGTTTTGGTGTTTGAAAGAAATTTAGTTGGAGGAAAAGACATAGATAATACCTATTGAAGTATTTGTCATTTGAGATTATTTGAATATTCTTAACACTGGGAGCTGTTTTGCTTATTTTTGAATAATATATACACTTTTAAGTGTAGTATCACCGTGAGTTATTAATGAGGGAATAGCATAGGTGGAGTTTGTGTGTTTAAGGTTTGGAAAGTAATGAACTTGAAGAGAAGGGGCTGAGGTGCACATATACCATTAATACTCAGAAATCCCTGGTGGTATTGCATTTCAGATATATAGGTGTACAAATAACGTGTATATTGAACCTAATATAAAGGAGGAGATCCTGCCCTTAAGCTTTCAATCAAATCTGAGGAAAGACAATTTGTAAACTCATGTTGTTTATTATGTATGTAGCTTGGGAAAATGTTTCCCTTAATTTTTTAATGCAGTTAACAGTTTTGTGTATTAGCTATAAGTTTTCACTTATGTGGTGTCTTTATAGGAATGAATAAAACAGACCAGTAAGCTGTTTCTTTATTAGTAACATTGTTGGTGTGCTTTGTTTGCTTTTTCCATTTCAAAGATTCTTAGTTTTGACTGTGTGTGTACTCCCCTCTAACCATATTTTCAAAAGGAAGAAACCGTATTCTTTCTCAGAAACCCAGAGGAATTTCCTTTAGCAGTCATGGTGAACAGAGTTCTGTAATTTCTAGCTGCTTCTGAGTATTTGTGATATCAGACACACATTCTTTTAGTTAGCACGCAGTCTTTTGTTGACAGAATGATAGCTTTCTGATTTTTAGGTTTTGATGCTACTTGAGAAAAGGTCGATTCTTGGCCTCTAATAAGTAAAATGTTTGTTTTCATATGAATACACTTTATACCTTTTCAAAATTTGTTACAAACTTTATACTGACTTTTTATAAGAACATAAGAATATTGATGCTAAGAATATGAGAACTAAATATAGTCTGTCTCATTAGAAAATAAACAAGATTTTAAGTATGTTTGGAATAATGGAGGGGAGGACAAGGGATTTGAAGTTAGAGACACTGGGTTTGAGTCTTGGCACTGTTATGCACTAGCTGCTTTCCTTTGTGGGAGAATATTGTGTCAAAATGCTCAAAATGCCTATACATAATAAAGAACTGTAAATATTAACTCTTAATTTGAGGTTTTGTAATTCTCTTTATAAGGTGAATAAATATATTTGAATGGCATATAATGAAGTCTGAAGTTTATGTTTGTACTTTCTGGCTGTGTTTGTCTTACCTAATGCTCATGTTTGCTGTTCAGACTGTAATTCTGAGGAATGCTAATAGTGTGTGAGATAAATTTTTTTAATATTTACAAAAGATTTTGTTCCAACTTATATCAGTTTTGTATTTGGTATGATCAAGTGAAAATTTGATAATGGTAAGGCACTTACCAAAATATTGATTGTGTTTGTATTTTACATCTGATGAAACATAGTTGTAAAACTAACTGTGGAGCAGAACCCTATTTATAATACTTTTTCATTGGAATCATTTGCCTTGTTCTATATGATAACAAAACATCTGTAGTTTTATTTGGAGACACTGTAAAGAAATCTTTGTGTGCAAAGGAATGCCTGAGGAAAAGTTCTGTATTTAATAAACTGTAACTTGATTATTATTTGTGTTGCCTCTCTTGTAAACTTTAAAATAATTATATTGAGAATGTTAAAATATATTTCTCCATTAGTTTTGAAACTTTTAAAATTTTGTGTGTTCTTTTTTTAATTGCTTAGGGATTTTCTTGTTTAAAAAGACAGGTGTGCTTATTGTCTTGCCTATTTTTTAAGTCACTCATCTATTCATTTCCCTATTGTAGCATTTTCTTTGGTCATTTTAATACATGGGTGACTAGATAAATCTTTAAATAGCAAGAGTGATAATGTTCCTAATTCTCTTGATAATTAATGACCTCAGACTATAAAATTATATTCTTTTGCAGTATCCCTTTTACTATTCAGCGACTATGTGAATTGCTAACAGATCCAAGGAGAAACTATACAGGAACAGACAAATTTCTCAGAGGAGTAGAGAAGGTATTTATTTTATCATTGGGATTATATTAAACTTTAATCTATTTCAGAAGAGAGCACTGAGTAAGTTCTGTTTTAGGCACCTTTTCTTCAAATAGGTTTCCTGAAACCTACCTGAAGTTTTTCTCAAATTGTTTTCCTAATCTGGGAAAAACTAGGTTTTGGAGTGAGATTTAATAGGAGGGGCACAGAGGGAGGACTTGTGATCAGTTTAGTATGGGGAAAGCAGCTTCTTGTCTCTTCAAAATTCCTAGTATACATTAACATTAAAGGCTCTGCAAAGTTTTGGCATTGACATTTCCATTATAGTTGTGTTTTGCACACTTGTTTACCCATGGAATTCATTTCTTCATTTCTGGATTTGGTGCACAGCTTTGGAAAATCTGATGCAAAAATTTAACTTAGATATTGAGAAAGATGTAGATCAGACTTAAGAAAGAAGAAAGCATTGGTGTTTTTTGTGGGTAGGGGATGTTGTAAGAGAAGGGCATTTTGGATCAAGGAAACAATGTGATGAACAAAGACATCAAGGTGTTTGAGGGAATGAAAAGTAGGAAATTGACTTATTTGAGGAACCAGTGAAGGAGCCCTGTGGGAACCAAGATTGGACCATTAGGTTGCTAATTCCCTCTTTGATCCTAGAACATAGTCCAGTGTTCATTTTATGGTTCTAATTCAAATTCAGTTTAGTCTACCCTTGGAGCAGGAATCTAAAACCATTACTTAATGTTTACAATAGATCTTAGGGCTTTACTGGTTTAATTTGTTTTGTTGAGCTTCCACGCCCTTGATTTAGTAAGATTCCTGAAGAGCAGGAAACGGAGATGATTTATCAGTACTTATTTTCAGCTTATTGGACTTTCAATAATTAGATTTTGGCAATCTTTGAAGAGGCAGTCAAAGTAGTCGTATCAGGAGTGGCTCTGTCACCAAATCAGGACTGCTATGTTTCATATTTGGGTGACTGTGGACCAGTTACATAACCTAAGTCTCAGTTTCTGATCTGTGAAGTATGGATAATAAGAGGGCTGTGGAGGGGATCAAATGAAAAGCACTTACTCTGGCTCATACTACACTTTTAATGAATATTGACTATTAGTAAAGTCAGTATTAACTGGGAAGATTATATTATTAAAAAGGTCTGAAGCTTTTTGGGGGGGGTTATGATGCTACTACACATCAGACTTTTGATTGGGTACTGCTTTTTAAGGAAATTCATTATATGTGGCCTAAATACTTCAGTCTCTAAGTATCTTGGCATGATTTCGATCTAAAACTATTCCACTGTATTACATTTGATATATAATGTCAGGGCTCCATAGTAGCTAGAGTAGAGTTAAAATAATACTGGCAGAAGGAGCAAATGGTTTAGTAGGTTATTGGATTTAGTTATTGTTTTAGTTTCTGTTGTTTGATTAAAAGTTTTTTTTTTTTTTAAAGATTTTATTTATTTGACAGAGAGAGACACAGCAAGAGAGTGAACCACAAGCAGGGGGAGTGGGAGAGGGAGAAGCAGGCTCCCTGCCAAGCAGGGAGCCCGATGCGGGGCTTGATCCCAGGACCCTGGGATCATGACCCGAGCCGAAGGCAGATGCTAAACGACTGAGCCACCCAGGCGCCCCATGATGAAAAGTTTTTACTTTTAACCATTTATTTTTTTTATTAGTAAAATTGGAGAAGATAGGAACTTAATCTGCCAGGGTGATTCTGAGAGCTTAAAAACAAATGATTAAACCTTATGTCGTAATGCTTTGCGTCATATTAAAGCATCAATTTTTGTTATTGCAGAATGTGATGGTTGTTAGCTGTGTTTATCCTTCTTCAGAGTAAGTATAAAGATTTTTATATTTCTGTATATACTGATTATATCATTTCTAATATATTAGTCCTTAAATTAGGTTACATTTATTTTGTATGGAATGAAGCAGGATAACATTTATAAATACTTGTGAACCTACCACCCAGTCCCTCAAGTAGAATATTACCAATGATATTATCTATCTATAAGTTTTTCTAGTAAAGAAAGAGATTTGGATTAAAGTGATGATTTGCTGTAATCTTAAGATTTGTGGATTTATGTACTGTCATGGTACTCAGGGCCCTGAGATCCCAGAAATCCCACCCTAGATACCTTACCATGGCGTCTCTGGGGCATAACTCCCAGGTTTGGAATAGTCTCTTGATGACTTTCCTCCTCATGATGGAAAAGTATTTCCAGTTGTCAAGATTTATATAGCAAATTAAGGTGTTGGTTTAAGACACAGTCCTTAGCACTATTGATGTTTTGTTATGAGTGGTTGTCCTGGGAATTAAAGCGAGTTTAGCACTGTCCTTGGCTTCTCCCTACTGGATGCCAGTAATGTCTCTCTTTCCCTGAAAAATGTCTTCAGACATTGCCAAAAGTCCCTTGGGGTGGTGGGCTCCGTGAAGGGAAGTTGAGAGGAGAATGTTGTCTCCCGTTGAGAAACACTGGATTTATAAAGTGTCTGTGATTTCATAGACAATAACAGTTTGTTTTTAGAACTCTCACAAGAATATACCTGTGTTAAATGAGATACTAAGATAATCCCATAATTTAATGCTGTTTCTCTCAAAAGTCTGTTTGGTTCTGTGACTGTGAGATCGTACAAAAGATCTTTTAGGCCTATTGCTCTTACTGAATTAAAGAACTAAATGATTTATAATAGTGTTTTTTCTTTTCTCATAGGAAAAACAATTCCAATAGTTTAAATCGAATGAATGGTGTTATGTTTCCTGGAAATTCACCAAGTTATACTGAACGGTGAGATTATTGATTTTAATATCCACAGAAATTGTATTTTCCTAATTTTGAGAAGCAGATTCAATATACTTTCTTAAATAAAGTTGGGCATTTTATGGAAGATACAGGATATACTAAACAATTAATTTGGTAACCCTTAAATCTGAAAGTCAAAGTTAGAGTAAATACTTCTGTGATGTCTTCACATAAGCAAACCTTGGGAGGGTGACTTCTTACCAAAATGGGAAAATGATGTTCATTTATCTTATCCTAGGTCTAATATAAATGGGCCTGGAACACCCAGGCCACTTAATCGACCAAAGGTTTCTTTGTCAGTCCCGATGACAACAAATGGCTTGCCTGAGAGCACAGACAGCAAAGAGTCAAACTTACAGCAAAATGAGGACAAAAATCACAGGTTTGTATGTGATTTATATTTAAAAACAAAAAATGTTTTCAAAATAAGTTGACATTTATCCATTGTTTTCAGCACTCATTATTTACTATATACTCTTGTTTTGAGGAGCACAGCAAGGTTTTAGTGTGGTCTGTGGCTTCTGGACATTCTCAGCATTAGCACGTGGATGAAGATGGTCAGAGAGAATGCTTAAAACTGCTAATTTGGGGAGATCCTATTTATAATAGGATCTTAAGAAAGTAAAGTGGTTCTGGTGTTTTCTATTTCTTGTTTTTGAAAGTAACCTGAAAAGATTTATAAATGAGTTGAAAATTTTGTGAGTTATTTCTCTTTGGAGATCATTAAAGGAAACCTTTTATTTATATCCCATCTCAGATTTTCTGCATCACATTAAGGGAAAGCAGACTAAACGAGTGAGAGGTCTTAATGAGTATGTCCATCTGGAAGACTTGTAGTTCCCTTATGGGAAGACATTTAACTTACTGGAGAATTGAACAGAAATGCCGTATAACTTGTTCACTAATTCTAGTGGGAAATATTCTTGACACAGTTTAGGTTCCCTTGAAATTATTCTCTTGTGTTTTTCTTTACCCAGATGTTACAATTTAACTTTGAGACAGAAATACAGTTTTAAAAATTATTAGACCTTAAAAATGAGAATGTGGAAGATGAAGAAAACAGTCTTTATTAATGACACTTTAAAAAAACATTTACAGTGACTCTGCGACATCTGAATCAGAAGGTTCCTCAGTGAGCCCTATAAAAAATAAACATCCAGATGAAGATGCTGTGGAGGCCGAGGGGCATGAGGTAAAAAGACTCAGGTTTGACAAAGAAAGTGAAGTCAGAGAGACAGCCAGTCAAACATCTTCCAGTGAAATTGCTTCGGTTATGGTAGAAGAAACAGAAGCATCGTCGTCACCTCAGGATAAAGACAAGGAAAGTACTTGTACCAGGCAGCACTGTACAGAAGAGGATGAAGAAGAGGATGAAGAGGAAGAAGAAGGTATTTAGAGACCATCTGTAAAAGGGTGGAGTAAGGAGATCCTCAAATTCTTGTACTTCATTTTGCGTGAAAGAATTTAACATAATGGAACTCCTTATAATGCTGATGTTGGGCTTTTCTCCCACCTGTATGTAGTTGCTGCTGAGTTTCAGGGGATATGATTTGAACAGTAGAATATCAGAATTCATGAAACTTAACTGTGGAGGTATTTTGAAAATAAAATTTAACTACAACAACATTTGCTTATTTTTAGAGTCTTTTATGACATCAAGAGAAATGATCCCAGAAAGAAAAAATCAAGAAAAAGAATCTGATGATGCCTTAACTGTGAATGAAGAGACTTCTGAGGAAAATAATCAAATGGAGGAATCTGATCTGACTCAAGCTGAGAAAGATTTACATTCTGAAGGTAGTGAAAATACAGGCCCTGTAAGTAGTGGTTCTGATTGCCATGAGACAGAAGAATTAGTAGGATCCAACTCCAGTAAAACTGGAGAGATTCTCTCAGAGTCATCCATGGAAAATGACGACGAAACCACAGAAGTCACAGATGAACCAATGGAACAAGACTAATTATTTAGAAACATGTAGATGCAGTATTTTACATACAGTTCTGGTTTTACACTGTATAAAACTTTTATGTAATAAAGTGGACCTTTAGTTTTACAAGAGAAGCAGGTTGTAAAATAAAGTACTTTATGGGATAAATCCTGAAAGAGTTGTACATGTAAGAACTGTGAATATCAGCTCCTCTGGGTCCTGCTTACCGCTGACTTTTTTTTCGGTCTGGTCAAATCAGTGGTTTGTGTATAGATTTTTTTTTTTTTTTTTTTAAGAATTAAAGTTTTTAAACTGGAAGGTAATAATTATAATTTTGAAAACCTTTTGGAAATTATCACATTTAGTTTATACATATGCAAGAAATCTTTTTGTCTTGTCTCTTTCTGACAACTCTAGCAGTTTTCATATTTTGGTCATAGTTTCAACATTTTAACATGTGAATTATAGGGTTTCATGCTGGTTTCCAGATTTTATTGTTTGACTATGTACAGTGGAACTTTAAGTCATATATACATATATATATATATTATTCTAAGGGGGGAAATGTTATATTTTTCTGTTTCTATAAGAGATGAATACAGTGGATACTTTTTCTATTGGTAATGATTGAGTTCACCTCTTTCAGAAGACAGTTTCAGTTTCTCTTCTGAGTAATTCAAATAAAATCTGGCCCTTGTGAAACCCTGGAAATAAGTCTGTTGAAATACCAGGTTAAACACATTCCAAGAGATCTGTTCAAACTAAAATTCTTTTGTATACTTCTGAGGTGCCTGAGAAAAAGACTTCATTATTTATGAGAAAATACGCTTTATCTTGGAAACTGTGTTCAAACATTAGCTTACTATTTTATAGAATGAATGCTGACATGAGACCATCTCAGAAGAACCCGGCAGGTTCCTTGACCTTTTGCTTGCTTTTCTGAACATTGTGAATATTACACATTTCTTTCTAAATTATTCTAGAGTATGCAAATGTCAAAGGTATGAAACCCCACTGTACTGGAAAAATTAATATATTACTATAGTAATGTACTGGAGCTAAATGACTGAAGCTTTAGGGGTGCATAGAAACCACCATAATTTGTATGACATTTTGAAGTGAATTAAATATTTTTGAACATGCTTCTTCGACAGCCAGTGTTCTATTTTTCAGATTAACACAAAGCACAATGATTACTCTAAACTCAATATTTTCAAATTCACATATTTAAAAGTCATGCAAACTGCAACTTCCCTGTCAAAATTACTGGCTGCCAAATTTATACCTGTTTCTTCAGCTGTACCTTTTGATATTTAGAATTTTTAAATTTCTGTAAAGTAGATTTTGTAGAATGTGATGTGTTCACTGCCTTTGTGAAGCGGTATATAATTGTATAATTTCTGTGTGTAAACTGAATGCTTGGGCTTTCAATACAGTATTCATATAAAGCAATAAATATTAATGTTATGAAATATTCGAGTACATTTTTATCAAAATACAAAAGAATCCCTTTTTTAGTTTCAGATACTGAAGTACACAGATGAACTTATAAAACTGATGCAAACACTTTCTGACACTGTATCATAATCTTTGGGGTGATGTGGGTGGCAACCACAACTTTTGCATTTTGACTACTTAAATTGCTATGACTAAAATTACCAAAATGATTTGGCTCCGTTTATGTTTATAGGGTAAATATACTACTGACTGACTTGACTGTCAGGTTCACAGCAGCTTGGTGATACATTTAAGAATATGTCTAGTAGTTGACATAAAAACTGAGTATTTACTGTACCCAGGAGGGGAGAAAAATCACACATTGTAAATTTTTAAAAATGTTGAAGCCAATTTTAAATGTGACATTCATTTGTAGTGGCCTGTTCACCTATTATTTTGTTGAGGGATATTTTGCCAATGAGAATAGATTTTAAACATTTTAAGTTTAGAAATTTTGAAATTTTCTTTAGAATATTTATGAAATTCTTGTCAATAAACATATTCTTTAAGATCCTGTGACCTTTTATATTTTTTGTTTTAATTGTGCCATGGACCATTTGTAAACAAATCAGTTTACTTTTGTTGGTTATAATTATAGTTGAAGATTTAGCGTCATGACTTTGAGGTCTGTGGTTTTATTTGTAAACTTGCAGTTGCTATTTTTGCAAGGGCAAATGTATTTCTTTATTAAATAAAGTACAATAATGGTGAATGTACCAAAATGCCATCGCTTAACTCTATGAGAGATCTGCATTTTAATCTATAGTTTAATAGTTTTAATATTTATTAGATATTCATACGTTGATCCTAGATCAAACTTGTTGCTGTTTATACAGATAACTGTAGAATGCTAATGGAATATCTCCTTTAGGATAGGTGGAATACTTTTGTAGTTAAGCTGGGAAACCTTGTTCAGCTGGTTTAAGATACTGATGCCCATTTGGAAGTAGATTTCCGCAAGTATGCGTAGGTGCACTTACACAGACTTTGCTTAATGAAAACCTCAGTTCTAATAGTACCTGATTCAGATGTGAATTTTTTAAAGGCTAATTTTAGGCACATTTTCTTAACACACATCAGCAAAGTCATATTAAAAGACCTAAATGAAGAAGCAAGACCTCCGTGATTAAAAATGTTATTTTCTTTTTTCTTTTTCTTTCTTTTTTTTTTTTTTTTTTTGGCCTTGAGCAGATTGTTTACCTGTTAGAATCTAGACTCTGAACCCAACATGTAAAAAGAACTTGAAATGCTGATGAGGATACAGAATATATATGTAGTGTTTTTAGCACTTTCCCCTTTTAAACAAGTGAAAACATTACCCTAGTACATTTTAAAAAAATACCATCTTTTCAGTTCTGAAAATGTAGCAGAACAGAAATGAGTAGTGGAAAATGTCTTATTTTAATTGTTGGTTATTAGATAAATTTAATCCAGTTAGGGTTTATTGTAACTACACCTTTCAACAGTGTGAACAGAGCAGTGAATTCCCCATCAGAGAACTATTATAACCCTTTGGCTTAGAAAGGCATCCCAGAAATCCTGCGCCAGAAGGTGTAGCCTGTTAAAGCATGGAGGTTCAGAGTCCTTTGTTTTGCTGGTGTAGATAGGCATGTATTTGTGCATTTTTGCATTTGTAAAATCAGTAATTTTTCAAATAATGTAAATGTAATATACTAGTTTACTTATAAAGGTACTATAGCAGAATCTATAGCTGCTACAATGTTTGATTATGAGAAATGTAACTTGATAAGGATGAAAAGGCAACTTGTAGAACCAAAGGAAATAAAAATTTTGGATAGTGTTTCAAATTGTCTTCTGAACAGGAGTTTCTTAATTACATTGGTTTTGATCAAATGAAGCTCAGTTCTCTCAAGATTTGTGCTAATCGTAAAATGGATGAATGCAAAAACGCCTTGTAATTTTATGTGGAATTATTATAATTAGGTTTATTGGATTATTGGCCTAATAAGAATGCTAGTATGTATTGGTTAGGATACATCTAATATTTCACATTTAAAAAATAATCAGTACACTTTCTTCAGAATTTCCTTTTATTTCAATTTGGAGCCTAGATTACTTTGCCAAATGTATTATTTTCATAATGCAATAAAATATAAATTAGAAGAATATCTTTATGTGTGGAATTACTTTATTTGCCATAATAGTTCACACCTCTCTCCCAACTCTTCCTCCCCAGTCACTTCAGATGGTTTAGGATCCATAAGCATTTTCTGGTCTGTAAGGGAAAAAGCTTAATGCAGGATTTTATTGCAGCTCTGTTTCTTAAGTGATAATATTTCCAACATGGAGGGTGCAGCTGACTTGAATGGACAACTCAAACCTGGTATCTGACAAAGTCCTGATTTACCTTATAAAACAGTTCTCTTTTGGCATAATTTGGCACTAATTTGCACACATGGATCCACAACATTTGTATTGGAATCATTTTAGAAAGGTCTCCTTCAGGTAACTACATGATTAGAAGTGTAGAATTGCCCTAAATGGAGAGAATGGATTCCGTTTTCTGAAAATTCTGGGTTCTTATTTCTTTTATGTATTGCATAGTAGGTGAATAGTTAACACTTGGGGCTTTGGATTCAGAAGATAGTACCAATTAGCACGTGCCTGAATTTAAGTATTTTTGAATTTCAGCTTCTTCATAATTGATCTCTAACTTAACCAGCAAGCAACTTTATTTCATAAACAGAATTGGTGGTAGAGTTTGGGGTAATGATGAGAAGACTGTTGCACTAAATAGCATGACAATGCACCATCCCTGGCCACTTGCCTTTTACTGTTGTATTCTAACGGTTTTAGAGCAACAGACTTTTTTTTTTTTCCTCCAAAATTCAGCAGTAGAGTTTGTGGTTTAGGTTTATACTTCCAGGCTTTTTCTTCCCAAAGGCAATGAGTTTTTTAACTAAAAATAATGACACAGAAATGCCAGCAATCCCGTTTCCCAGTCTGCACACTACTGTTAACACTAATTTTTATACTTACACAAGCTAGCCTTGTGCTTGGCAAGTGGTTAACAGCTGAAATCAGGTGGGCTTTGTGGATACTGTCAGCACAATCCATTTTGGGATTCCTAAATATACTAATCCTACAATTTCTGCCCACTTGAAGGGTTCTGGGTTCATCCCTGAAGCCTTTTCTTTGCTGCTAGGTTTATGGAGTTGAGAGGAGTACACACAGTTGGATGCCCTTGACATGAAATCCATGGGCATTTAGACTGAATCACCAAGAAATAAGTGTCCCAGTAACAGAAGAGCTAGGTCTGTAAGACCAGCCTCCCCAGGCGTATAGAAAGGTACAGCACATCACTTGATGGTGGACAGGTGTTTCTCTAAGTTGGACATATAGTCAAGTCTGCTTTAATGTGGTATGATGGGACTTGATATTTGTTTACTAATTCTTGCATCAAGAAATGCTTGTGGTTGAGTAGGCTTGCGAGTGTTAATGCATATATTTGCTGAGAATTTGAGGGTTAAATATGTGGTTGGTATTGGGCTATCTTCATTTGGGATATTTTTCTTTGCATTTCTTGTAATGCTGCAGCATGGAAGGGTAAGCTTAGTTGATGACTAACAATTGCCATGGGCATTTAGGAATGCACACAGTCTCCCACTTTTCAACTTGACTGGGTACCTAAAATTAAGTTGGGGGCAACTTGATGAGTTGTGTATTTGGGGGGCTCAAAGAGTAGACTCAGTCCATTTCCTACCTTTGAGGAATTCAGTCACCTTTGGAGAACAATAAGCAGTCTAAGTTTTGAACTAAGGGTAGTCTTTGACTTGGAAGATGCACTGGAGAGACAGCAGTTTAGTGCAATTGTTGATGTCTGGGATGGCTTCTCAGATTTGGCCTTGAGAGATGTACAGGGGCGTAGCAGGGTGTAATGGGCAGAATAGAAGGGCATAGAAGTTGCAATGATATGGGTTAAGTCTGGTTTGCCTTCCCCAGCTGGGGCACCTTGGGCAAGTTACAGTATTTCTTTGAGCCTTAGTGTCCTCATTTCTGAAGCGGGGAAATAATGGTATCTACCTGGCAGGACTCTTTGGGCATTCAGTGTCATTATGGGAATAAAGCTAGATCTAGTTCGGGATCTTAATTTTTTTTTTTTTAATTTTGTTTATTTGAGAGAGAGCATGAGTTGGGGAAGGGGCAGAGGGAGAGAGAGAATTAAGCAGACTCCCAGCTGAGTGCAGAGCCCGACAGGGGTCTTGATCCCAGGACCCTGAGATCATGACTCGAGCCAAAATCGAGAGTCAGATGTTTAACCAACTGAGCTACCCAGGCGTCCCTAGGATCTGACATTTCTTTTAAGGAGAAACATGGAGAGGAAAATATGTATTGTTTCTGGGGAAAACAACAGTTGTTATCAGAATCAAAGTTGAGGTTTCAATCCTGGCCAATAACAGGATAATAATAGCAAGCACTAATTGAGCACGCACTTTATGCCCTTCCTTATCCTTAGCACACATCCCCTCTTTTAACTTTCCCATCAACCTTATGAGATGTGTAATATCCCCATTTTACAGACATATGAGGTAAAGGAAGACAACTTGCCCTGGGACCGTTTGAAAGGGGAGGGTCAGAATGAGAATCAGGGGCTTTTGACTCCAAAACCTGATGTTTTTTTACCCTCCTTATGCTCAGATCCTGTCTCGTCTTGGAAGGCCTGTCAAATTAGAGTGAGGCCCGCAGAGAGGAAGCCATTCCAGGTATCCGAAGGTTCTCAGAGCCACTCAGACTACCCAAGTTCAGGTACATCAAAGGGCTCAGCCAGTCACAAACCCGAGCACTTGTTTTCACACCCTATTTACTTCACTGTCTAGCTTCACCTTATTTTTTCTATTACCCATGGTTTTCCAACAAGACATTCCTAGTACATAATCTTTTTAAGATTTATCTTAAAAATTAGTAATGCACACCTGGCAAAAATTCAATAGAATAGTGTATACACTGGGTTGTTTTTGTCCTACTACTCTTGCTTCCATAGCCTCCCCCGAAACCCAGAGGGAAAAGCCCTCACTAGCAGGGGATAGTGCCTGAGAGCAAACGGTTTTAGAGCAACAGACTTGTTTTTATTTCTCCAAAAGGTCCTGGCGCCAGATTGCCTGGATTTAAATCCCAGCTCTGCCATTTGCTGGCTGTGTGATCACTAGCCTATCTCTAAGATGAGGATGAGGTCCCAACCTCAAGGCTTGACCATTGGAAGAGAGCCTGACTTGCTAGTGGTCTCCCCTGACTTCCTTTCCATAGAGAATGTGCACATTACAGTGAGAGGCATCTTACCTTTCCTGCCCTATTTATTTTTGTAATAATGTCTGCATCAGTACCTACAGTCACCCCAGTCGTTTTAACAGCTGCATAGCATTTCAGTGTATGGATGAGCCATACTTGTTTTAACCAGCTTCCCTTTGAGACCTCATGCAATTTTTTTTTTTTAAAGATTTTATTTATTTGAGAGAGAATGAGAGAGAGCACATGAGAGGGGTTAGGGTCAGAGGGAGAAGCAGACTCCCTGCCGAGCAGGGAGCCCGATGCGGGACTCGATCCAGGGACTCCAGGATCATGACCTGAGCCGAAGGCAGTCGCTTAACCAACTGAGCCACCCAGGCGCCCAGACCTCATGCAGTTTTGATTTGTGGCCACTGTTCACTCAGTTCGAGCAGTTTGACATGGGGACATATGAAATCAGCCTCTCCTCCCTTCCCTC